GAAAAAAAAAAGATCTCAAAACTGCATGCAGAAAGATGATTACAGAATACGAAATGGAACTCTGGAGTGAGAAGTATTGCATTTCTATTTATATTTGAGTATAATTAAATGTGCAACTGCTTATGTTGTTTGCTTTAAGTTATTTACTGTATATATCACTCCGATCTACAAAAACAACTCCGGGGCACTATATGCTTCATTCCTAATCCGAACAAATATTGTACCTCGCCTGCTTTAAAGCAATCAGAGTCATGCAATTGAATGCTTTCCCACAGTTTCTCTTTCTTGGACAAAGTTCTTTCAAACCTTCAGAATGGTGGTGGTGGGGGAAGCCAAGCATATCCTGGGACCAGAATATTATACAATCTGTGGGTGCCACAGGGAAATCTAACATTCTAGTTTACATTGCTTTTACTTCTAATGGGGGTAGGCTCTTACTATGGCGGTGGTACATACTACAGAAACATCCTATTTGGTCCTCTCATTTTCTTAGATCAGTTGGGTTTGTAGATAGATTTCTTCTCTTCTGGTAAGGACACCTTAGCAGCAAAGGCCTTCCTTCCTTCCTTCCTTCCTTCCTTCCTTCCTTCCTTCCTTCCTTCCTTCCTTCCTTCCTTCCCTCCCTCCACCTCCCTCCCTCTTCTGTTGGGTTTTTATAAGGATAGATTCACACTATTATTTCTATTCATTGTAATGTCGACATGCAATCTGAAAGGTAGACAGATCTATGAACATTGAAAATAGGCTTGTTCCCATTTTCACAGTCAATTAGTAAATCTGAGGCAAGAAGGAGATTCTCACTGGACAATTCCTTCTTTCCTTCCTTCCTTCCTTCCCTCCCTCCCTCCCTCCCTCCACCTCCCTCCCTCTTCTGTTGGGTTTTTATAAGGATACATTCACACTGTATTATTTCTATTCATTATAATGTCAACATACAACCTGATTGAAAGGTAGACAGATCTATGTACATTGAAAATAGGCTTGATCCCATTTTCACAGTCAATTAATAAATCTGAGGCAACAAGGAGATTCTCACTGGATAATTCCTTCCTTCCTTCCTCCCTCCCTCCCTCCCTCCCTCCCTCCCTTCCTTCCTTCCTTCCTTCCTTCCTAAGAGCCGAGGTGGCGCAGTGGTTAGAATGCAGTACTGCAGGCTACTTCAGCTGACTGCTAGCTGCAGTTTGGCAGTTTGTATATCTCACTGTCTGAAGGTTGACTCAGCCTTCCATCCTTCCGAGGTAGGCAAAATGAGGACCCAGATTGTTGGTGGGCAATAGGCTGACTCTGTAAACCTTTTAGAGAGGGCTATAAAAGCACTATGAAGCAGTATATAAGTCTAAGTGCTGTTGCTATCCTTCCTTCCTCCTTCCCTCCCTCCTTCCCTCCTTTGTATATTTTTGGCAGAAACAAATGAAAGGTCTGCCAATTTCTCTCGCAGCAAGCAGCCACATATATGGAACTCATCAAGCCTTAGGGATTAGCTGCCCTCCTTTTGAAAACCATCTCTTTTCACATCACAATTTGCAAACTAAAATTTGTGTAATATGGAAGGCTAATAAACAGTAAAACTTTCTAACTGTGCCATTTTATATAATGTTAGGAAAGGGGCTGAAGACAAGGAAATTTTCACTGGATATTCTTAATCGCCTGAGCAGAATTTTTTCAGATTTATTGTCATCTGTTCAGCTCTTTTCAATCTGTCCATTTTATTTAAATGCGTAAGTTTAGAGTCTCATATTTAAGCAATGTAACTCATGTTCACTCTCAGTAAAATTAATCCTTTAAATCATTGGTGCAAATGGGAGAAGAGAGCAGATGAAAATTGGGACTATGAGACAAAATGTAATTTATTTTTTTTCATCGCTTGCCTAAAGAAACATTTCAATCCAGTGTCTTTTTTTTTATTTATCCCAAAGAAGCAATAATATATTTAATAATGGAAAAAAGTATTAATAAAAAAGAGAAAAGTAAAAAGATAGTTAAGTTTTTTTTTTAAATGGATGGAAAAATGTATCTAATTTGGGGTACCAATGTACATTGTTGGAAGGAGAGATGGAGAACTTCCATGTACAATTACCAGGAGTGAAATCCAGCAGGTTCTGGAGAACCGGTAGCGGAAAATTTGAGTAGTTCAGTGAACCAGCAAATGCCACCTCTGGCTGGCCCCAGAGTGGGGTCAGAATGGAGATTTTGCAATATCCTTTCCCCTACCACACCATCCAAGCCCTGCCCACCAGGCCACACCACACCCACCAAGCCACGCCCATAGAACTAAGTAGTAAAAATATTTGAATTTCACCACTGACAATTATTTCATCTTTAATATTAGCCATGTATTTTTTTTTCTATTTCCTTCCCCTTTCTCGGCATCTTGTCTAATAAAACCACAGTGAAATTTATAATTGACAATTATTAATAAAAAATAATTAAATAAAATTAATTTCAACTTCAAATTAAAATTTTATTTGGATGCATTGCCTCGTTATAAGATTTGGGATTTGGGAAATGGCCCAAAACAGGTCATAAAATTGGACAAGATCTACAGTAGTAATGGTTCACTTGTTTTTCACATTTATTAGCCACAGAAGATTGAGGCCCAGCTGTAGTTGTAACTTGAGCACTGTCTTTAGGGCTCCTCATTTTGGACCATAACTCTGGATGGCTCAAAGCAACAGTGAAGAATAAAGAATAAAATATATCAACATTGCCCCACTCTGCGGTTTTATAGGCAAGGTTTTGGCCATGGTTTACCATTGCGTGGTTTCTTGGGCTGAGCGGGTGAAAGACTGATCCACTCAGATGCCTTCATGCCTACAAATTATACTCTTCCAATTTCTAGAATGAAATCTTAACCGCTGCAGTGAAGTGGCTCTCAAGAACCTGAGTGCCTGCACTATATCATGAAAAATAATGAAATGCAGATCTGATAATGAAATGCAGATCCGATGCTTTGCTTACAGGATGCCTGGGAAAATACTATTAGACCGTGAACATACTTTAAAAGGTTTAGAATCATTATGTTAAAGTAAAATGTATCCCTAGTGGATATTTTTGACAGCAAAGATCTGAATATTTTTTGTGGAACAGTGCCTTTTGTTTTGAACGTTTGTGCATCACATTTACCAACAGTTTTTTAAAGAGATTTTGTTAAGATAATGAACTATAAATGTTTTGGACTTGGAAGTGTCCACAAGGGCTAATTTAAGTGATGTGGAACGATTACATGAAGGAAAATTTGATGGGGAGTATTCATAATAGTAGGCATGAGCATGAAGAAATCACCAGAAATATTTGGTTTAAATGGATGATTTTTCAGTCTACGTGGAACAAACGGTGTCTCTGCTTTAAACATTTGTTCAAAACCACAGGATTTCTTAATACCAATAGCAGTAGACTTATATACCGCTTCATAGGCCTTTCAGGCCTCTCTAAGCGGTTTACAGAGAGTCAGCATATTGCCCCCAACAATCAACCCTGAGCCGGTGAGATTTGAACCGCTGACCTGCTGATCTAGCAGTAGCCTGCAGTGCTGCATTTAACCACTGCGCCACCTTGGCTTAATTATATTAAAATATANGAGGGTAGTGCTCATCTTCGTTTCAAAGCCGAAGACCCAGCACTGTTCAAAGATGTCTCCGTGGTCATGTGGCCGGCATGACTAAATGCCAAAGGCGTTGGGAATGCTGTTACCTTCCCACCAAAGGTGGTTCCTATTTTTCTACTTGCATTTTTTTACGTGCTTTCAAACATCTAGGTTGGCAGAAGCTGGGACAAGTAACGGGAACTCATTCCATTACATGGCACTAGGGATTCAAACCGCCAAACTGCTGACTTTTCTGATTGACAAGTGCAGCATCTTAGACACTGAGCCACCATGTCCCTTTATGACTGTATATACCTCCCCTTTGATAAAATGATCTACATTAATACATATGTTAGGTTTTTTTTCCAAATAATATGGAATTTATGAAACCTTAGCACCAGTGTTTTATTTAACAGATTAGATTGAGATTTTAGTCATTTTTTTCCCTTTCTTAGCTGTCAATTTTTAAAAATAAGACATGCCAAATATTAGTTTTGTCTAATGCTTGTTTGAATAAAGAGTTAATGAAATCAGTTTTACAGTTGCAGATGCTAAAATATATTTCAAGAACTACCTAGTCAAATTCTGACAAAGCTAAAAAATATTTAGCATAATCTGCTTTTGGGGGGATGGATTCAAGAAATGCAAACATGCTGAGTCAAAAAACACTGAAAGCACTGCCGTTAGTGTTCTTATATAATTCGGTAAATAAACGACTGGCTGTCACAAAATCCTGTCCACTCTTCTGACCAATTTTTAAGAATGTGCAGTATTTTGATAGTTGCTATTCTTTCAGTTTCATCTCCTATAATTAGCGATCGTTGTTGTTGTTCTTTATAAAGAATTGCTGAGCCCCCCAAATTACCTGTTTGCTACCTCTCTACTGCTGGTTTAACGAACCTGGATTTGTTCGCAATTTGGGAGGATTCTTGGAAATGCATGAATAACAAGAAAAGAGAAAGACTAGTCCATTAAGAAAATTAAAGGGGGAAAATGGGATTTTTTAAAAATAGTACGTAAGAATAATAAAGCAATGCGTCTCTCCTGAACTTCCTGCCCCAAAGCTACGAATTCGGAGTGATGCACAGCTTGCCACGCCTCTTGTCCCGCCCGTCCAACAAGCCGTCAACCAGTCAACAGTTAATCGTCTGAGAAACTCCGCCCATCGAGTGCGCAGCCGAGTCAAAACTACTGTAAAGAAAGCCGTTGCCTTAGTTCCATTATCTTTGGAACGATCGCCGCCCAATCAGGACAAGGAGGGGCGGGGCTTTCTGGTTCTGCCGTCTCTTCCTCCGGGAATCTGCTCTAATCGAAGAACGCGGCTTATTGCCGCTTTAGCTCCGCCTTCAGGGGGGTCTCATCCTCCAATCCGCGGCGCGGAGGGGCGTTGTTTCGACCACGCCCCGCCTCCTCGATCCATGACTGCAACAGCCGCGGGACCTCAGGATCGGTTGACTTAGCCGCAGTGCCAGCCTGGTGCTTTCTAAGTCGGTCCTGGAAGCACCATGGAGCGGGGCACGGAGCAAGAAGCTGGGCCGTCAGATCCCATCCCGCCCAGCTTGGGATCGCGGTTTCCGGGCGGCTTCAGCTCTGCTGAAGCCTTGACGGCGCTGGGCGCTATCGGACGGCGAATGCTGTGGCTGCTGCCCGTGTATCTGGCCGGCCGGGCGGGGCTCAGCGTGGGCTTCGTGGTGGCTGGCGTGGCCCTTTACATGGGCTGGCGGAGCCGGCGGCTGAGCAAGGAGCGGTCGTTGCAGACGGCTGGACAGATCCTGGGCGATGAAGAGGTGACGGTGAGGAGCGCCGTGGATCTGGGCCGAAGCCTGGGTCAGAACGAGCTGCCCGCCTGGGTAAGAGTGCCGCGCCCCTGCCCGAAATGTGTTAGCTGTGGAGGAATCCCCGTCTAGTAAAAATCCTCCTTTTCCCGGATGATCTTGCTTCTCGCATGGGACCCGCATCAAAGCGCTTACTGGGTGTGTAGGAGCTGCAATTGAATTCTGAGCGAAAAAGATGAGACTTCCTCATATGCGACAGCCTCTTAAATTAGGAAGCGCTCCTTTGGCGTCCATCTATATATGTACTTATGCATTATTTCAATTCTCTCTTCCCCCTGAAAGCAGAGTTCGGCCTTTTTTTCTTTTTTTAGCCCAGCTAGGCTGATGTTCCAGTGCAGCTGAGAAAAGGAAAGAAATCTACAAAAAAGTTGTACTTGCCCTCAGGCTTAGTGCTTGTTCTAAAAGAGTGGCTGCAGCTGCAGGGGGGGGGGGGAGAAAACCCTACTGGCATCTGAAAGATAAACAATGATATTATGGGAATCTATTTTAATGTTTAAGATAACCCACAAAGTATTGGTTATTCTTGTATATATGCTTTGACTGGATTATTGCACACACACACACACACACACACACCCAAAAAAAAGAGAAGGGAGGAAAGAAATCTGATTTTGTAAAATAATTTTGTGGCTTGAAGGCTCTGTAGGTTGATCCATCTTACTTTTATTATAAATAAGGGAGCACACATAGGATTCTTTGAGGTGTCTTATTTAGGGTGAACCTAAATGGTTTCATCCTTTATCAAGCCCTGCATCTTCTTCAGTGAACTGATTTTTATCATATACCATGTATGTGTCCCAATAACATTTGGGACTAGTATGTGTACTGAAAAAATGTGGATGCACTGAGAAAATGGAAGATGGGGGGGGGGGATGCCCATTGGTTTTTTAAAAAACCCTGACATAATCAGTTGCAAATAATTAGTTGGCAAAAATGTGACTTGCCAAGCCGCTTGCTCCAGAACTCTCCCTATCACTTTTGTCCTTTACTTGTATAGCTGAGCACATTCCCAAAGAGAAAACTGGGCTACTGCTATCAACCATCTTTATCTTCTAGGAAAAACATTTGGGGCCCCAAGATGTTCTTGGAAATAAATACGATGCTGGGAGATGATTCCATTTTTTAAATTGAAGGTAAAAAAGTCAGGAAGCTTGGTGGACACTAAGGGAGAGGGTTTATGGTACATTGTAGTCTCCGGGCAAGCAGATTCATGGGGTTCTAGGTTTGATTCTTGGGTTTCTGGCTCCTTTCATACTTGATTGGCAAAACAGTCACACCTCTTGATGCATGGATCTGTTCACTTTAGTCAATGTATAAATCTAATCAATACAAATGTGGGTATAAAATGTCTTCTCCAAGCTGTTTCTGCCTTCCCTTTTTCCTTATCACTCTCCAGTATGCACTGCTGATGCAAATAGCCTTGGGCTAGTTCATATGCTAGATTAAGATTCTGCTGAACTCTCTTAACAGTTTTATTGTAGGGCTTGAAAGAGAATAACATTAGTAAAAGGCTCTGGCGTATATTCATGCTTTTGTTGTTATTTTCAGTAGTAGGAATCCCCGTCTGGGTAGCAGTAACTCTGGTAGCAACTCTGATTTCTTTTTCTGATTCTCCTTTCAGCAAGCGTCTTTAGGCCGGCCTTCTCCAAGTTCCATATGTTTTGGCCTTCAATTCCCAGAATTCTCAGGATTAATAAACCAGGAATTTTGGGAATTGGAGTCATCAGTCTGGTATTTTCCTTGTTTGTTGCTCTCTGTGGTGGAAAAATTAGACGTTCTGTGTAAGTGGAAAGGAGAAGCAAACGTCATCCTATGAATTCTTTGGGAGATGCATGCAAGCTCCTTTGCAGATCTGTTGCGGCTCCTTCACTTAATAACCAAGAAAGAAACCACTCAACTCCATTTTGCAGAATTAAGTGTACTTTTACTGATTTTAAGTAATGAGAAGCTAAGCAAAGCTGGATCTGAGCAAAAGAGCGCGAAAGCATTAGATATCAATACAAGATTCATTCCCCTCCCCTTGGTACCCCAGTCCATAGTCCAATCGTATATCTCCACAGCTTTCAGGTGGGGGAGATCTTCAAAAAACATCATCAGGTTGGTATGCTGGACAGTTGGCCTTGGCGGGAAACTCCCCTCCTTCCACATGTGCAAACGAATGGTGTGAGCAACTCCCATTAACAGTTCTCCTGCACAGATTATTTCTCTCACCCAAATACCATGCCCTCCCCGTTGCAATGGCAGCCGAAAAGCAAACAGTAAAACAGAGGCTGACAAGAGCAGTTGCTGCATTTCCCTTGGATTCATATCCTTTAATGCCATTTGTTCTAACTTTCTGTCTCCCAAACTCTTTTTTTTTTTTACTTCCCAAACTCTTTAATCTTTGGGAGACCCTTGAAGGCATTTGGAATTTTGGGGACATGTTGCTGTAGGCACTCCCAGGAAAAGCTGCCTTGCTGCAAAAGAGCTGCCATGGTGTGTGCATAGTCGGTCTCTACAGTGCCATTTAGCAGAGGGTCAACTGGCAAGTTCATTCATCCTCAAGCAGCCCCTATTCCAGCTTCTTACTCTGCTTACCTCTGTCTGTTGATGGATGGAAGCGACAGACTCAGTTCCAAACAGCACACTAGGTTGCAGCAACCCACAGTTTGTATTTCTATATGTTACCGGTAGAAATAAGGATGAGGCTATATGCTGATGCTTTACTTTGCACCATAGCGGCTTCCTGTTTAACATTTTATATTCCCCAAAAGGTAGAGTGCAGGAGAGATAAATTGATGTCTATGAGTATAGTGTTGCATCTATCCTGTTCTAATTCTAACCATCGTGTTAGGTAGTTTCCGTATTTGCTATCTCCACAGTTTCCTGTTGGCATCCTGTTTTTCTTGAGAAAAGCCCATCTGATTATTCTGTTTTGTTTTAAATGCACAGTGTTTTCCTAAGATGTATCAGCATCTTGAAATTGCCTTCTGGGTTTCTAACCATTAACTTTTCTTAGCTCTTCCTCTGTATATATGCTACAGAGGATTTGAGCAAGTATAAGCAACTAGGCCTGGCAAGAGTATTCTGAATAGGATAAAACACTATACATGTAGTTTTTTCAACAAAGCTTTCTTTGATTTGGTGAAATCCTATAATTAAACAAGATTTTTTTTCTTGTGGCTCCAAATGCTGCCCAAGACGCAACAAATCAAAATAGATTTTACATATATGGACTGCAGCTAGTATTTGCACAAGAATGGAAAACACAAGAGATCCCTAGTACAGATGATTAAAAAAATACTAGAAGGTGCAGAAATGGATAAGCTAACACTTACAATTAAGGAAAAGGAAGAAACTGAATATTTTTGACTTGAGATTAATTTTATCAATGGTTAGTTGATAAAAACAGAGAATTGTAAGAAAAGAATCAATGATATGAAGGAGGTATGTTAAAATGGATAAGCAAATCATTATTATAACGATTATTATTATTATAGAATCATTATTAATGTAATGAATGCTGTTGCAAATATTCTGATTACTATTTCCTAAAATTATTTGTACCCAGACAACACACTTTTTAATTTGAAAATGGAATTTTTATATGTTGAAAAATAAAAAACTTGATTAACAAAAAACAAAACAAAATGCTGCCCAAGATAGATACTTCCTTTAGCGATAAAAAGGAATTGTTAATTAATTTGTGCACAGTCTCTTTGTTTTAGTAGGATTACTTGCCTTAAGTGTTCATTGAACGGAACTGTGTGGAGATTTAAGTACTAGCATACTGTCTGCTAGATATGCAAAATACCCTATTAAACAGTAATGCTATTGTACTTTGCATTTGAGAACTTTTATAGGATGAATTCATGGGCTATTATTTTTCTTATGCCTCAGGTTTCTTACAATGTAGATTGTTGCCTCTTGAGCAAATATCTAACAAGGGAAGACAGTGATGGAATGCAGTAGCATATTTCTGCACTGACTGTCCTGACATGTGAAATGTGAATTTGCCCTTTACACAGTTATTCACAATATATCCAAATCTTGTGAGATGTAAGCCAAGAGTCAACAGTTCTAAGGACATAGATGTCAGTTCTGCCAATAAACAACTGCCACTCAGCACATGAAATTGACTTTGACGAGATGTAGGAAAGGCAGGCAGAATAAACCACAGGTTTATATTGACTTGGATGCAAAAAAGAACTGCATTTTTATTTTGACAGGATAAAATCATCTGTTAAATGTATCTTGCCAGTTCAGCTTGCAATAAAAATCCTTATCTAGATCTATTCTCAATTTAAGCCAAGCCATACAAAATTGGGAGTTAAGAGATGTAGAGCGAACTGTTGATTTGAGGAGCCTGATAAATGCAAACATGTATTTATTTTGCAGATATTGTAGTGCTGCAGGGCTTGCAATCCTTGGTAAACCTTTGGATATGGAGCAGTTCATAATTGAGTGTGGTTTAACTGAGCCCTAAACTGGTTGAAATGCATGCTGGCTTGTTTTAAATTGGCCCCAATGCCACAGAAATTGTAAAGAATCTTCCCATCCAGAGAATGGTTATTCACATTAATCAATAAATTAATCCATTGGTAATTGTTGCAGTCATATATTTAACAGAGTGCCCGGGTTCACACATTGTGCCAAGCTGCAATGCTGTATTATGTTTTTTGAGTTACCATGTTGTGTGAACCCAGCTATGGTGGTTCATAATCCAGGATTAGAATTTTTTTCTGCGAACCCAGTTAAATGTGGCTCATTTAATAAATCATGGCTAGTCACACTCTAGTTTAACACCAGATCTGCAAATTATAGTGTGAAGATCCCCCGTTGAATTTATATACTTAGTTAAATATATGATGCCCTCATTCTCTTCTTTAGTTCTTTACAGCTATCTCTTTCTTGTACCTTCTGGATCTCTTCTGTTAACAGCCTCCTTGCATTCCAACCATCCAATTTTGTATTCAGAAATAATCTCACATGAATATCTGCTTGCTAATTGATGATACAATTTAGAGATTGGCAGG